ATCTAATCAATTCTTATAAGTTTTCTTTAAATATTCCGAATAAATTTCCATTTTAGAAACCATTTTGCAAAGTTTGCTTTTTAGATCGGACAAGCTCCAGTCTCGGAATACAGAAACGTCGCAAGTATAAAGAATAGTACTAGATTACATTTGTTTCGCTAATAACTTATCTGGAAATTTACCGATTTTGATGAAACCTTAAATAGAAGTAAATAATTGCATATAAAAAGGTAGATAAAAACAAAATAAAATAAACTCGTGTTGTCTAGGGCTTAGGAGAGTCTACACACCAAGTTTGGTCAATGTAGCCTCAGCCGTTTTCAAAGTCTATGCGTTCATCCAGACAGACGGACGGACGGGCGGATAGATCGATTTCTCACATAATGCTGATTAAGAATATATGTATTTGTACAACTTGAAAGGCCGGAGATGCTCCATCCTGGCTGCCTGCCTGCCTGCCAGTTCCTGCCCTCGTCAGAGCGACTAAAAGAGAGCAAAGGGAAGAACAGGGAGCACAAGAAGTGAGTCAGAGAAATGGGGTAGCCAAGAACCAAGAGTCTTCAAATGCAAGAGGGAGATGCTGCTTTGAATAACACCATGGATGCAGCTTACATATTGACTGAATCCCTGAGATACTGGAGAAAGCCCTGGCATGTGCTGTCAGTCAGGTCAGTGGCTTAGTAACTCCGAAGGGAATCTTCGGCAGAACCATTGCATTCATTGCTCAATGGACTATCATTGACATCCAGAAGATGTTGCCTTAAGAGATCTCCCCGTAGACAGTGCTAGTGAAAGAGCTAGGTCGCCCCATGTAGAATGTGTTTGTGGAACAGATCTCTACAAGTATGTCCGGTTCTGTATTTTCTGTATGCCCTCTAAGTAAGATCTTGCCATGAAATTGTGTTCAGTAGTGTCGGATCTCGCCAAATAGATTGTTTGGGCTGAAGAAGTTGGACAGGCCTTTAAGAGTGGATTGGCTACAGCCTTTACTGCAAAGGCTGAGAAGCCATAGAAGGCATGTTTGATGGCATAAAAACCAGCAGATTCTGGTTGCAATTAAATAAATCTATAGATAGTATCATATACTTGTATGTACATAGAAATTGAATTATGTTTGTTCTCTCAACGAATTTTGATCAAATTTTGTGCTAATATTCAAAATAGTCTCGTGGCTGATTCTGTGAGAGGTTCGTGACAGGTTTTCTTTTCGATTTTTCTTCAAGAATTTTGGTTTTCCCTATAAATTACTCCTTTAATGGATTTGTTCGATTTTCCTTACATTTTTATACCCTGTACCCAAACGGAAAAAGGGTATATTAGTTTTGTGCGACAGTGTACAGAGAGGGAGGCGTGGCAGACCCCAAGAAGTAAATACAAGTATATTCTTGATCAGGGTGACAAGATGAGTCCATATAGCCAAGTCCGCCTATCTGTCCGTCCGTCTATCTGTTCGGCCGTCTGTCTGTATGAAAGCAAGAATATCAGAAAGGATAAGAGCTAGAATAACCAAACTTGGTATGTAGATTTTTTTCGATACACCCCCACTCCCTCTCTATTCGCGATTTTCTCCAACTGATTATGATTAGATTATGATTAGAAAGAAAGGTTTATCCATAAATATAATCTCTGCCCAACCGGTATTGCATAATTTTATTTAGTGAATTAATTATTTAATGAATTAATTAAAAATTCACAATTTATTCTTATTTTTGGGAGTGTGTACAGGGTATTTAAGAGTTGCGCCCGCTCGACTCTAGCATTCCTTTCTTGTTTTTTTTTTTTTTTTTTGTAATATGAAAATAATAATAAATAAATATATAATTTTAAAGAACAATTTTTGGCCAACTAGAATAAAAAGTGTAGAAAATGAGATCCATTTGCTTTTTTTATTTATTTATTTATTTATTTAAATCAACAAGTGGATCTGTCGATTTATTCAATAACAATATATAAGTATTAACATTTTATATATATATTAAGATTTAAAATAAAAAATTCAAATATGATTAATATAACATAGTCTCAACTTAAAAGATAAGAAAGCCTACGAAAAAGCTGTACAATAACGTCTATAAATGCCCCCGACACGTTGGGGGAATTTTATTTGCCAGTTGGCCAGCTATGCCCCGATTCACAGCCATATGTGGTCAGAGACATTATAGACCTGACAATCTAAACAAATAGTATGTAGAAGAGGAAAATTAATTCTACTTAGGAGCTAATTAGAAAAAGTAAGGAGTATAAAGAGACAGAGGTAAAGAGGGAGAGAAAGGAAGAGGAAGAGAAAGGGAAAGAGAGAAACAGGGAAAGAGAAAGATGGAACAAGAAAGACAAAATGAGAAAGAGGGAGAATCTCCAACCCGGTGGGGGAGAGTTTTAAGCCAGTCCGGCCAGCTATGCTTGCAAGCAAGTGTATTTGAGTGTCGGCGCATTATGCTTTATTTATTATTGTTGTTGTTGTTGTTGTTTATTTTTATCTCATCTTTATTATTTTTATTATGCTCGTGTCACATGAACTCAAAGCCGGGCGCTTAGCAGTGTCACTTGACTGCCAGCTGGCAACTGGCGTCTGATGTCTCCTCCATCCTGCAGCCTCCATCCTCGTTCAGTGGCGGCAACTGGCTCAGTGTCCTGTCAGGCGCTTTTCATTTCAACAACTTGCGGTGTAGTTATTACACATTGGCGAGCATCTTAATGTCGCTGGCTTTTTAGGCCCATGGACAGGACGGGACAGGACAACTGCTCCCCAACCAACCAAGCAAGCAGCCAGCCAACCAACTGGTTAAGTGTCGCCACTCGCCCAGCACTTGGGGTTAAGGCGAAGTGCAGTGCTGGCTGCTGATGCTGTTTGTGGTTACACAGGGAGCAACAACAACAACAATGCACCCCAATTGGCAACATTTTCAACATTTTATAACTTAAATCACGTTTCAGTGGTTTGGCGGCTTTAACGTTCTGCCAACTTGCAACTGCCTGCTGCCTGCTGGCTGTTGGCTGCTGGCCTGCTGCTGGCAATGAAAACGAAAACTTTATTTGCTGAGTGGACGCAAAGAGTAAGCAAAAAATTGAGATCGAGAAGACGGCCATTTGACTTAAACAGTAGTGTATATAGCAGAGTATAGCAGTGGGTGGCCATCAACTCTTTTGTGGTCGCCGCCGCCCCAAAATTGAATTAAAAGCTTTGCGGCCGTTCGTTTTTGGCCTTTTTGGCGAAAACGCATTTACTTCAAATCACACTACACGGCAAGAATATTGTGTCTCTCTGCTAATTCGATTTCAAACTTCAAATTGTTCATTTAATTTGCATTGTCAATTAAATGAGCCACACACACACACAGAGGCACACACACACAGAGGCACACGCACAGGTCACTTAAATGGCTGCGTCTAATTGCATTAAAACGGACTTGACTCCACGTCTGTGTGGGTGTGTGTGCATGTGTTTGTGTTTGTCTTGGCTGCCAACTTTTTGTCACTGTGTATGGGGTCAACACTGGAGGTACATCTAAATATGCCTCACTGGCCATTGCTGCAACACACGAGCACTGCTCCACAAGCACTGCCACATTCTGTCAACTTGTCTGCAACGCCAATTTTCTTTGGCTTTGCGCCTTTCAATTTACTTTTGGCTCATCCGCCTCCTGTCGCATCCTGCCGACTGTCCTTACCAGTCCTTCCCCAGCCTGCGGAGCATGCTTCTCTTCAAATGAATTCTGTTGCACGCAGAACGCTGCATATTTGTGGAAGCACACAACACTTTTCAAATAATTGCAATGGAATACAAAATCGTGGAGGTTAAGGTCCCAGAGATTGCGAATCACTTTATTAATAATTGAACCTATTGAAATATATATTTTAAAAACCAACAATAATCCAAGTTCAACTGACTAAACTATTTCTTATAACTACAACTACCCCTGTGCCCCTAAAACTAGCAGCAATGATCCAAATATTGTTCTCAGCTAAAGTGTGTATCGATTATATTTGTAACGAGTTGACAAGCCCTCGTGATATTTTGCATTTCAACAGAATTGGCAGTCCTGTCGAACGGACGATCGCAGAAAAGGAGACAAATCAGTCAAGGCGCAAAGCTAGTCGTGACGAGGCGAGTTCAACAACAAATATATCTGCTGTCCAGTATAATAGTTAAATAAACATATTAGATATGGAAAGCGATTAATACATATCCGGCCCTTCTCCTCCAGTGTAACCACTAGAGAGACAATTGGACTATTAGGCTAGATTTCTATTGATGTTCTCCGTATGCAGCAACAATTGGCAAGGAAAGGAAATAAGCAACAAAAGTGTAGATCAGTAGCGAAATCAGTAGAACTAGCATACCAGATAGAGGCTAATTCAGATGGCCCTAAAACTAATGGATGTGACGAAGCATCCGAAATTTATTGCAGCTTGTTGTACATACATATGTAAGTAGATAGCTGACGATATCCCCACAAGCTGACATTCTTCACTCGATCTACAAGCTATTCCACATGAACAGGAACCCAACTTTCGCGCATGAAGTGGGGTTGAAACACTTTCTGGTTACTTGTCCAGCACCAAGAACATGTTTTTCTCGACTAAGTGTTACAATAAGTTTTTCATTAATTGTTTTTCCTTTTTCCACTGGTACTGGAACTGTCTTCGCCTTCTTTGGAGACGATTCTCCATATTCAGTCCATTGTTTCACAGTTCCTTGTTGGCATTTGTGAACTGACCCCATATCGGATCGACACAAAAAGTCAGCTTCTATTATTGGACTGAGGCTTTCCAAATGAGATGTTTCTATCACATAACGTTAACCAATTTTTTCTAAATCAATGAATTCCTTTTCCTCAACTCTGTCTGCAAACTGCAATCGTTGATCTGAACTCGAGTTCTTTAAATTTAAAAATTAAAAAAAATTTTTTTTTAAATATTTTTTATTATTATTTTAATTCATTCATTTGCTATAATTTACTATCATTTGCTATACAGATGGCGAATTGAAAAACAACAAGTTCTTTGGAATCATGATTTAATCATTTATTTGGAAGACGGTTTCACAAACGTTGCATCTTCGTTCGGACGAGCTCAGCCGCCTCGTTTATAATCCAATTTCGGAAAACAGCAACGTCGGCATAAACGCCTGGAAGACCTGGTTGACTGCAGGGTTTTGGGCCCCAAGACACAATGCCGACCAATTGGCCATTCGAAACGAGCGGACCACCAGAATCTGAGTGGCACGCATCCTTACCTTCAGATGCAGCGCAAATCATAGCCTCAGTTACTTTGAAGTTTTTGGGATCATAGGAGTTTTTGCAAACATTAAAGCTTACGATTTCAACATCAACACTCTGTAGAATTTCAGGGTAGCCGAACGTAGTTTTCCCCCAACCGGAAACTTTGGCAGTAGAACCATCGGTCGGTGTTGAGGTCGCCAGTTCAATGGTTTTCATTTTGCGACTGCCATTAAGGAGGATTGGCTTACTCAGGAGAAGCAGAGCCACATCGTTCACAGCATAGACATTATTTGCATTATAGTATTTCTGATGAATCTTAACCTTTTCCACATCCAACAGTTGGCCTCCTCTGTTTTGTTTAGTTGAGCCAACGCGCACCTTGAGATCTTGGACACGAATGCGATCAACGCAATGAGCGGCGGTTATGATGATCCACTCATTGTAGATTGAACCACCACACAAATGGTGAGAATTATATTGAAGTGACACTTGCCAGGGAATGTCTTCAATACTAGTGTCCTTGCCGCCTACGATGGCCTGGAAGGAGACGCGATCAGCAGCCAGTAAGGTGGCTGCCGAGAGAAGCAGAAAGTACTTAATGAACATCCTTCAGTTGCTTGTGTTCTCGGATCCCGATGGTTTCAACTGAACGATGGCCCAGCTTATATAGTAAGCGAAAGCTGAGAGCTTTGGAAAAGGTCTGAAGCTATTAGAATTGTCAAGTTCTTATCGAAAAATGACATTCCAGGTCTTATTGGCTGGCCATAAATTCCAAGAGTTATTACCAAGGGTTAAGACTTGGTTATGATAAGTAATTATCAAGTTATTGTAAATATTTGAATCAACAACATATTAATATTTATCTCGAAATGATTAATTACTTCATTTCACAAATTCTACATGCTTTTAATGTAAGTCGACTTTTTGTCCGTAATGCACATTACCTTTTAATTTTAGTAGAAGTGCAAAGAAACATTTCTTATCAAAATCAAAATACTTGTGTAATTGAAAAACAGCGTCATTTGCGAATGCGACTATTTTTTTGATTAATACTTTATGGAAATATGGTAGTAGAGGGATTCTCATTTTATAATTCAATTTTATGGATGGCAGAACGAACAAAACTTGTTCTAACTGAACTAACTGTATGGGCTAATTCTAAAAAAAATAAGTATGATGAGTTCCAAAAATATTATTTAACAAAATATTTTATGCCTCAAAATTGATTGTTTTACTTTTAAATTGAATTGAATTTCTTTATTCAGCTGTTGTTCAATGGTTTATTTATTTAGCAGTCTATTGCTTTTAAATCAACTATTTATCAGTTGTCTGATAAAAGGAAGAGAAAGACAAAAAACGATCTTTAAAAATGTGTTTTTCATACACTTCTTTATTACTCATTATTAGATTAGATCTGATTTTGGTTTTTCTAATTTAAATTTGATTATAATGTGTATTCCCAATTCCCATTGTCATGTCAACTCTTAAATCTGCTGATCAAATACATAGTTGCCCATCAGCTGTTTCACAAAAAAATTTAAATAATCTAAAGTAGCGCGTTTATCGTTTCCTAAAAATGTTGAGAACATTCTCTTTCTTAAAGACTTCAATAAGCAGTCTCACCAAAAACAAAAAACAAAAAAAAAAAACACAATGTTTAGAATACCCCTTAGGCTGCGCTTCATTAAGAAGCAGCGAGCATGCTTTCAATCGCCCTTCGCCTGTTCTACTCTCATTCCCCATTGCCTGCTTGCGATCGTGCAGTGCATTAGTTAGTCGTCTATGCGGCTTACATCTTGTTGTGTTTTGTATATATTTCTTGTATATTTTTCTAGACCCACTGCGTTGTCAACGGGCATACGCCCACATGGACGTATACGGCGGCCCGTATCCGCATAATAATTTGAGATTTGGCTTTTATTTATTTTAGAATCGAGGAGGGGCTCGGGACCAGCTTGCTTTTGATGATTGGCCAGCAAAACTTTTGCCAGCCGCAAAGTCGCCAAGTTCTTTCGGTTGCCCTTTCCTCTGACTCAACAGAATGTAAGTCCATATACTTGTACATATACGAGTATATACATATGTATGTATCTGTGTATGTATGTATATTGCTGATGAAAGGCTAAGTCAAATGCTTGGCTGATTACTCTAGCCAGCCACTCCTCTAGAGAGGACTGTGGATGTGTGGTTGCAAAACTTTACGTATGATTTGCTTGGAAAATTGAAATTTGCGGTGCGGCACTTCATTGGCTTTGGCAACGTCTGCCTTTTATTTGCTTTTGGCCACTCACGACTGCCTGGACTGCGAGGACGACAGGGTCCTTTGGTTGGTCATTATGGGTTCATGGCGTATTATTTGTTTAACAATTCGCCATTTGCATTTTAATGGCACATTCAATTGATTCCGCAAACACATCAAAATCAAATTACAAATACGTCGCCCTTTGTCGCACAGCTTGGAAGTCACGTCCGCGTAATTGTCTTTGCGGCTAGGCACAGTGCCCCTCAAACTGTGCCCGTCTAGGTTGAGCCAAGAACACAACCAGCTGCTTCTAAACCCCAACCAGCTTACTCGCTCAGTTTGTATTTCATTTTTATTGTATTCTTTGTAGTTCTTTGTATTATTTATGTAAACAAAAAAAAATCGTTTTGTTTTTTGGCATTCACTGCTGATCTCATAAGTTTAAGTTTAAACACATATATATAATCTGTGTGAACATGCATATACATATATTTATTTATACTTATATATGTGGCCATAAATTTTCATTCATTTCACTCATATATCGGCTCTTTTCACTTTTGTTGCAAGCAGAAAATAGGAAAAACAAGAAAATGTTTATTAAATTAAAATCGAGAGACATCTTTCTTTATTTTCAAGTTTGGCAGCACTTTCCCTGTCTGCTGTTTTACATTTGGGACTATGTTTTGTGGAAGAGCACCTAGTAATGTTTTTTCCGTTTTTTACAATATTCGAAATTATTCAACAACGAATTTTGGTTTGATTTTATTGTAAAGTGTAAACAGGCTATGCCAAATAAATAATTCTATGAATGGCATAAAATATGAAATTGGGTCGAGAAAGCGTTGAAAACCCAAATTCAAAACGACGACGACTGATGCTTCAAAATCTTCAAATATCGATTGACAACTAGAGACATTGCTGATGGATCTGTTAACACAATCTTAAGAGAAAAACTCAATTTTTTGGAATATTGAAAATAAAAGTTTTAGACTAAAATAATATATTTAAAAAAAAAAACACCTGGGTCACCGTTTTGACCCGATTAGGGAGACTCCAGCCGAATCGAAGAAGGCACTGAACGGCGTTTCGGGCAAGAAATTTACGGACAGCTTAGAAGATTCGAATAAACCTTGGCATATGGCGTAGAATGTGCATTGCATCCATAGGGGATTACTTTGAAAGCAATATAAGTTTTAAAAGTATAGAAAACATATTTAAAAATTTGTTATAAGTCTGAAGAGCTAAACGGACACGAATATATATGGACTTGGGTTCAGTGGAATAGTTTCAGAGATGATGATGATAGTTCTCTTGTTCTCCTAGCAAGTTGGACTCTGATCTCTAAATTATATTCAAAATTTGCGTAAAGTTACTTTCCAAACAGATGAATTGAAAATTGTTTGAATCACAAAATATTGTATTTAAGAAGCAATCTAATCTATATTCCCAACAAAGTTGGAATATTGCTAAATTAATAGCGAATTGTTTAAACTAACAAATATTTTAAGGTTTATGAAGATTAAAATATAATATTGCGGTTTATTTTCGAAGAAATTTAAAGAAACAATAAAACAAGATGAAAAACAATACTTTTTGTTTTATTTAACTGAGCATAGAATCGACTATAAACAACAATATAGTTTTACAATTATTTTTGTTTCTAACCTGATGACGCGCAGTGTACATACATTAAATATTATTGTTATTATTATAATCAGTAATTAAATAATTACATACAAGTATTGGCTTACTATTAGCACACTTTCATCAATTTAGTGGACAAAAAAAAAAACAAAAAAAAGCGACAATAATTAATTGATTATAAACAGGCTCCACTGTACAAATATCGTCGTCATGGTAAGTATTTTTATTTTAACCATAAGTTTCCGTTAACATTAAACTTAGACCTACTGCCTTTTTGGTACTTTGTTGCTCACAAAAACACAAAAAAAAAGAAAAAAAAACTTGTTAAAACTTAAAAATATGTTACAAATATAATTAAGTATTAAATATTGTTCAATAAACAGCAAAAAAAAAGGAAAAATTTACAATTTCTGACAATTGTTTATGACGCAACATTTATTTGTGATGTGTCTAAGCATATGTGTGTGTGTGTGTCTGTTTGTGTGATGTGTGTTTGTGATACGTATGTGTGTGTGTGTGTGTGTCTAACACACCAAACGTTCATTATCGGGCCTGAAGATACTGTCGTAGCTCTCGATCAGCACCTTCGCCAACATATTCATGCGTCCGATATCGAACTGTATGGAGTTGGCGGCCAATAGGCAGGGTCCCCAGACTATGGCGAGATTAGAGGCCGGCATCCGATTTGAGGCGCTAGCAGCTGCCACACTGAAAAAAATTAAATTAAATTTTTAAATGCTGCCACTTAGTAGACAAGTTGTGGAAAAGTCTACTCCAAATAGAACTGTGCGTATAACCAATAAAAAAAAAGGAGAGCGATGATTTTTCCCAAAATTTGTTTCAAAAAGTTGGAATTCTAGGATCGTACATTTTTTGGCACCTTAGTCTTATAAAAAGGATAAATTTTAAATGTTTTTCATTACGAAAACACTCTAGAATTTTTAAATGTTTCCTAATTTTTGTTTTTTTTTTTCTGAGCTATTCTATATTACAAATTGTTTCGTAAAATATTTTTTGAAGATTCTCAATTCTAGAGTTGTAAATTTTTCGTAATTTTATATAAATGTTTTATATTACAAGCAATATTTATATACAATATTTTTAGTCTTCCAAATTTTATTTATTTACCGAGTTATTAAAAAGTTTTTATTTCATAAAATCCCTCTTTCGAAATCAGGCGTAGCAATTATTTTTAAATATTTTAATTAGTTTTTTTTTAAATAAATGTAATTGATTGGATCAAGTTTTTTAAGTCCTTGACATATTGATATACCAGTATATTTTGATGAGTTAGTTATATTAACGATTTTTGATGCTTTAGATAACACACACTTTTCCGGTTTCGAACTCTTCGCGACTATTCATGTTTTCGTACATTTTAAGAACATTGTGAAGTTTTTTGTGAATTCAAGTTTTTGGATTTCCAAATATTCTTTGAATTTTTTTTAAAACTATATATTGATATCTTTTTGAGGTTCTTAAAAGTTGTTGGATAATTGAATGGTTTTTTACGAATTTCAGGTTCAAAGGTTTTTAAAGCTTTTGTGTTTTTCAATTCCACAATCATATAGAGCTCAGTGGAAATAGGAAATGGTTTCATATGATCATTTTAAAATAATTTTAAAAGTAAGAATGCGAAATAGTGTCGTGAATGTTTGTTTTTTTTTTTGGGTTTTTCACAAAGTTTTAGCGTGAATTTTCGTTAAATGGAAATGTGAAATGGTTATACGAGATTAATGGGGAGCTTTCACAAGCACGCAAAGCTCTAGAAGGAAATTAAAAATTTTGATGGACTTACTTGGTCAAATGCTTGATCAGGAAACGTAGAGTGGATCGATTCGGCTCGGGCATCTCATCGAAGGCGGTGCGCATGCGCTCGATGGCGGCGGGCTCGGCCAGATTTTGTCCGAGTCGCTCGTAGGCCTCCTGTGTGATAAGTGGGGCACTTAGCTCCCGGAAGAATAGCTTAAGCAGGCTGGTGAGGGTGTGTATGTCGTCGGTGTGCAGAATACGTGGATCATACAAGTGAGTTAATCGCTTTTTCAGATCATCGACAAGCAGCTTATTGCCCGAGGCACGATATAGACCGTCCTGTTCGATGCACTCGGGTCTCTCAATGTAGGCGCACACATCGACAACAAATCGTGGCACATTCGGATGGCTGGTCATGTTCAGTTCCAGGGCGCTGAGTGGTGCTCCAAACAATGGATATCTGTATGGATCATCCACGTAGAGACTGTTGACTTCGCTGCGACGCGAACGCGATTTCTTCTCACTCCGGGGCGAGCGATTTCTATATAGAATAGAGAGAACTATGTAATTCCGAAGCTGGCGGATATGGCTTGGCGGAATCATGTACTTACATGCGAAACACATTGCTATTCACTGTTGACGAAACCAGCGTGGCGTAGGCGTACATGAAAGGAACAGACCAAATATTACTTAGAGTTGGCTGCGATGTTTGCTGATGAGCAATAAAAAGTGCCTCCGGAACATGCTTCTCCTTGACTAACCCATTAGAAAGCTGACCTGGCCGAAATTTCAATCCGCATAAATTCATATTTTCTTCGGCTTTTTTTTTTTTTTTTTCTTTTTGTCGAACTGCTTTTCTTGCCTGTTGCCTACCGAATGCAGAATTGCGACCAATTTGGCTACCTTATAGAGCGCACTCGCGCCTCCCATTCTACGGAGTACCCGCAGCCCTGTGATGCATCGTAAGCCACTCAGTTGACGAAAATAGGCTTTTGTGACAAGCCGCCCTCATGTGATTCATTTCGTTCAGTCCCTCCCTCCTTGCCGCTGCAAAACTTTCATTAATTACTTATTCATTGGCCTATCCTATATTTGGCATCCAGCTCCAGTCCCTATAAGGGCAACAGAAACTCGCACGAGCAGGACACTCAGCTGTTCATTAATGAATTATCGCCACAGATGATTTTTAACCCTAAATACTGTTTTGTTTACTTTACTTGAGATGAGAAATTTACAAGCTTCTCATATCACTCTTAGCGGGGGTTCCGTTTTTTTTCCACAACAATTGAGGGCCTTGCTGTACTTTTTGTGGTTCGTGAATTAATGTGTGGGGCTTTTTTGCGAATTTCACAGTTATTTTTTGCTCAATTACAACACTCACATTCTTTCCACAGCGACACTATTTGAATTATAGCAACAGATGATTTCCTTTAAGTTCTTCATTTGATTTGATCTCCAAAAAGTTTGTAAAGTCCCTTAATGCCTCTACATATCACTCATCGATTTCACAAATGTTGTAAATTCTCGAATTTCACACTAGTTGTTGGCTTTCACTCGAAACTCACATCCACTTTGAAATTAAACTCAATTGTTCAGTTATCAGCGAATTATCGCAACAGATGATTTCTATTATATTTGATTTGATCTCCTAAAAGTTTGTTAAGTCCCCTTACTTTACAAATTTGCGATCGTATCGGTGGTTTCGATTTCACAGATATTAAAAATTCTCATTAGATCAGCAATCTTTGGCTCTCACTCGAAACTCACCTCCACTTAGAAAGTAGCTCAGTTATCAGTGAAATATAGCAACAGGTGGGCTCTATAAAATTTTGAAGTGATCTCCAAATAGTTGTTTAATTATTAAATAATATTTTCAACTTTACATCGCGTGAGATTATAATTTTTTGCAGCACCTAAATTTCTCAAACAATTTACCAAATACTTGGATTTTTGTGAATTTTTTATTAATTGAGTGATTTGAGCGTTTCACAAACTGCACATTAATTTTAAGCACTAGCACGAAACTCACGGCTTTAAAAAAAAAAATCATTCAGCTGTTCAGTAATCCGCAAGTTTACGACACAGGTGCGATTTGTTGAGTTTTAAATTTTCCACTAACAAATATACAAGCTAGCTGTCATTTCTTAAATATTCGCTGGCCGTTCCAAAAACCTCTTCCCACGAATTTGCTTTTGATAATACAATTTAGAAGACACAAACGGATATGAATATTTAATTCATTCAATCCATTAATTTGAAACATATTTCACCTTTAGCCGCCGCTCCCGTAATCGTTGTGTTAATCAGTTGCACCATCGTATTACCGATTTATGCCCGATATTTTATGGTCGAGTTAATCATGAATTTGTAACAAAACTGATTAATAAAGGCTTTCCAACCAATTCATATTCGATGCATAAGCATTTTTTACCATTCTAGCAAATTTGTATATCGAATGTGCATAACCGGTTCATAACCGGTTCAAGCCCGTTTCGTAACCGGTTCATAACCGATTCCTAACCGTTTCCAAACATTGTTTTTCGTACTCACATTTCATACGCATGCGATTCTTAATCGATTTCTTGTCATCCTCCCCCGGTAAATCCACCAAATTCCCAATGGATGCACTCTTAAAGCGTTGCAATATATTCGTCTGCTGGGTTTGCTGCACTTCATTGTCTTCCTGGATTTGTTGTGCTCGCAGAATATCAGTCACCGGTACAATCTGCAATAAAAACAAGCGAATAATAGATACAAACATACATAAGTATAAATTACAAGTAAGATAGATAGATAGATAGTTGTATGTAAGTGCCAGTTTATAAGTAGATAGAGGGGCATGAGATACTTTGAACGCCACTAATTAATTGCAAGTTTTCGTGCTTATGTCGGCACTCTGATTTCCTTTAGTGGTTTTGTTTTCATTCTCTCTCTCTCTCTCTCTCTCTTCACTTCACACCTCTCCCCCATTGTCTCTGTCAGTTTTCTGCTGTCGGCCCAGTCATTTGTTATTATCTTTAAGCAACAAGCAAAGCAAAAATTGATAAGAAATTGATTTCAATTTGTTGGCAGCGTTGCAGAGCTGCGTGTCTGGCGAAACGGGTAAGATAAAAAATGTACGAATAAAGCACGAAAGTGTATTTAAGATGTTCATGTTTTGTTTGTTTTTATTTTTATTTTTATTTCTTTAATGTTGTTGCCAGAAGAAGAAGTGTGATGCCGAGAGAGAAAAGGAAAACGAGAATTAATGTTAGTCGCCCTTCGGGCAGGCTGATCCCTGCAAGTTGTATTTCTCTAGAGTGGTGTGGCACGCACAATACGGACTTGTGGCATGGATACCGCCGAGTTACGCCCTGCCATCGATAAATACTATGTGCGATGGTGGTTGAGGAGGCACGTGAAGCTCGGCTTAAAACAAGTAAATAACTAAAGACAGACGCAACTGTGCTCGCCTGTTTATCCGCCAAATGACACCAAATATGCATGTACACATGTATTTTCGATATAAATACATGGATATGTACATACATACTTGTACATGGGTATATGTTTACATGCGTGCACGCCTTGAGTTGAGCTTCCCCCGAAGTGATTTGTTCGAGCGAAAGCATTTGTTTGCACGTAATTGATATGTTTAGAGAAAGATAAAGCTTTCCACCGAAAGAGAAAATGAAGCAGAAAATTTAGCCATAAACAGAAGCAGCCAATGCCGTATGGAACGTGCCGGACTCCAACAGTCGGAGAATAAACTTGCCATACGCTATCATTTCCAACTTCCAAGTAATAGACTTCCAACACATTTTTTGAAAGACTTTACAGAATTTCTATAATCGGAAATCGGTCGAGCTATCGTCTTGCAACTCCTCAATGGGATTCCCGACATCGAAATTCATCTCCTGGTCCTGATTTTTTTTTTTCAGCCATGTATCTGCTTTAGACAATTTTAGTCTTACTTGGCTCTACGTGTATTGCTTCGGGAATGCTCTACACACTATCGAATTTCGAAAGCATTGCATTATTGATAAATCAATACTTCGATAGAGTTTGCCAAAACACCTCGCCCTTTACTACTTCAAATAAGTTTTTCTATAGTTTTTCTAAGATAAAAGTATTAAAATCGTCTATTGATCTTCAAAAAGGTTGGATGGCTTATGAATCGACTCTTGTTTTTATGGACTTTCGATCGTCTAGAAGTGTTTTCATTATAATCGAAATACTTCCGAAATACAACATCTCCATAACCACAAAGTAATCACCAACCATTTGTTTCGCAAATAAGCCTCTCTCTTGATTTTTAAGAATTAAACAACTTGAATCTAATCTGATGAATATTTTCATTATTGAAATAGTCTTAGATTCTATGAAGACTTTCTTCTTAATGTAACTTCTCTCATTTCTTTTCTGATAATGTATGTAATTTTGAATATTTAACATTTAGTGGTTTGGCGCAGTTGGTAAACAAGTGAATCAGTCCGTCGGAAAGAAATAGTTTCTATATATACACGTTTGTACTCGTATATACTGACGAGTATAATATAAACAATATTTGAAACAAAGCATTAATTTGAATCCTTGTGGGGCAACTGCGTAGTAAATTCTGAAATGATTCCTCATTTTATTTTCAACTTGGATATATATTCTTTGAGTATATATCGCATTAAAAATACTCATTTTCAAATCCACTCTTTTTATTCAAATTTGTTGAAGTTTTTTCTTAATGTCAAGTATTATCTCCATAGCTCCGAATCCAAAACCGAGATTTTTTAGAAAACATGGCATTTTCATTTGAGTAAAGTTTGTTCTAAAATATATTGTTATTTCTTATTTTTTGAGACTTTCTTAAGTCAATTGCTTTTCATTTAATACTCTTTTCCCAATCAGGGAATTTAAATTCAATTTTAAGACTATGATACAAGAATTTCCAATTCTTTTTTCTAAATATTTATGACTTTCTTAGTTACAAGTAAATAACTAATACTTAATATTCCAATTCTTCTTTTTAAATATTTGAGACAGTTGCTGGAATTTCATATTCCTCTCCCAATCAGGGAATTTATATTCCTCCATTAAGAATATGGCGCATTTTCAATTATTTTTTCTAATAGTTGAAACTTTCTTAAGACAATTGCTTTTCACTTAATTTTCCTTTCTTAAGCAGGGAATTTAAATTCCATATTAAGAATATAATACAAGTATTCCCAATTCCACCTTCTAAATATTTGAGACAATTGCTTTTCATCTAATACTCGTATTCCTTTTCCAATCAGGAAAAAATCAAAATAATTCCATTGATATTGCATAGAAAAGCAAAAAAAAAAAAAAACCGCTAGCGAAACGCGCGCGTTTCCCGCCGCTAAAGTGCGAGGGAAATGTTCGAATGGCGTTTACAAATTGCTTACAAATTGTCTTTAAACTTGTACATAAACGCCGTTGCAACTATTTTGTTGAACCCCGGTGTGCGCAAAGCAAATTAAAAAGCGAAGCGTAAAGCAATAACAACAACAATAACAGCAAGAAGAGTAAAAACAATAACAATAATAAAAAGCAGGAGCAGAGATTAAACTCAATTTATTTTGCTTAATTTTTGCTGGCTACCCATTTCTGATGTTGTTGTTTGTGTAAACATAAACAAAATAAAAAACGAGCAGAGCGTAAAAAAGTCTTGCCCGTCCGACTCTTGAATACCCTATGCCCGCAACTTTTCCCCATATTCCCCAGCCATTCAACTAGCTAGATTTCCTTAAGCTATCTTTATTAATAAACAACTTATCCAACAACTTATTTGTTTTTTTTTTCACCGCTCGCTCATATGGCTCATCGATTTGCAAAAAAAAAACAAACTCAGTGATATCAAATAAGCTAAAGATATGTTAATAGACAAAAAGGTTTTTAGTACAAAGCTTGATTACTGCACCGATCGTTTCAATAACAGCTATATAAAATATATACGCTGTATATGGCTTGTAATGAACTTTCTCTGCATATGGATAGGACAAGTCTACAGAACGAGTTTGGCGTGCCTAGCTGTTATGAAACAAAAGTAATCGATGTTCATACAGTCGAACATATCTACAAGTATATCGATTCGTCTCGTCATTGCTTATAACATGATCTCTGTACCGCCCTCTGCTGCCTGTTGCAAGCATTTGGTGTTTAGCTGTTCACGCCTCTGTGGGTGCAGGGTATAAAAAATTTTGCGAATTGAAATATAGTACATACATGCAAACATATCTACATACTCGTATATAGATTTATGTGTTGATGTAGATGTGTAGAATGTGTGCGGCATTAGTTTTTGGCGTTGGTGTTTGGGCGAATAAAAGATACATTTGTATCTACGGGCCATTTCCAGTTAACAACAAAAGCGCTAAAAAAATAAATTTATAAACATTGCACGAGCTGGCTACGCTGCGCTGTGCTGCTAGCTATTGTTGTTCTTCTTGTTGCTGCTTCATGTGTTTTTTCTTTTACTTTTGTTTGTTATTATTATTATTTTGAAAATTTAATTGATACGACCTCGAAGTGGCCTGCATATATAGATACTTGTATCTGCGTACATGCTCGCATGTAGTTAAGCAAATACTTGTACAAGTATGTACGATATGAGCGAGTATACTCGTATATGTATGTTGCCGTCATGATTCAGAAAGTTAAAGCCAAACAAAGGCGGCCCAGTTGACCTTTTTTCCATGCCGCATATTTCGGTTTTATTTTAGGCACTTCAGTGCGGATCGGCTCCACCGCCAGTTGCGGTATTTGCTTATTATTTGTTTTGTTTTCGGCATTCCATTATGGGCTTTACTTCGCCCCGACCTCAGCTGTAGTCGACTGCAGTTTGGTGGGCGGCAGCGAGCTTACAATTTTGGGGCCTAGGCTCTTTTTCTAGTTGGCAAGCAACCCCCTTTTCCCTTTCCCAAAGAGGGGTTTATTTTTATTATTTATCCATAAAATATGAAAATAAAAAAAATGTCAAGCTTATTGAAAACTCCTTCTTCTATTCTCTCTCAAATTTCACAGCCTAGGCTCTATTTTTATTATTTCCCCCAAAGAAAAAAAATCTAACGCATTGTAAAAACTTCTTCTTCTATTCTCAGACAACGAACCGGTGGTTACAACCGGTTTCAATAAATAATAGACGATAAAACTAACCAAAGCTATTTCTTAATCAAATTTTATCGCGACTTTGTGGCAAGAACGCGATTTTAAGCAAATAATAAACGCTTAGTCACATGGCTGAGCTTTAGTGTGGTATAAGCTCAGTCCTCTTCCAATTATGTACACCACCAATAACAACATCAACAACAACAACAAAAAGTAATGTTAGCAAAAAAAAAAAAAACTTGGGGAATATACGCAGAGAACAACAAATAAAAAGCAAAGCAAAATATTTGACTAATGATTAACCAATTAAATGGCTGATAAATACGCCGTAAAAGCGCCAAAGCGCAGGAAATTACGAGTATATTCGAAAAGAAAACAATAAACAGGAACAACAACAACAAGTGAACCGAGTTTCAGGTTTAAAACAACATTTTGTAGATACGAACATACACACACTCACACACCAATCATGCTTCCCAATATGGAAGAATTAATGCTGTTTAACGAATTATATAAGATATGGAAAATTGTTGCGAATATGAAATTTGACAGATATCTATTAACATATCTATATTCACAACTATTCAGATCGCTAGTAAAATTCCAAAAAGTGTCGAATGCATAAACTAAGTATAAAGTAGGTAGGTACGTTTTAAGTTGAAGTGTAAAGGAAATACAATGAAAAATTGCCGTTTTGCCCCAATTGGAGTACGAATTTCACTAATGTTCCACTTTTGAGTGCTCACCTGAATTGTGAGTTAATTTTTGGCTCGTGTTCCAATAAATTAGGCTCCCAAAAAATGTCCAAAAACCCACATTACAGTTTAGTTTGCAAGCGAACCTCATATATTTATTTATATCTTGAGCCTGACTAATAATGCCTCCGACCTTAGCTAATTGTGAATCGATGCATGGGCTTCTTTATAAACGCTTATGATAATTATTCAATTTATTTTATTTTGATAACCTTTTTTATATTGGACAATTTTTAGTTAATATTAAAATTGCTCTACATTTTATATAAACATGGTACATATTTAAATTGTATTTATGTAATTGTAAGTAATTTTAAAATGATTTTTATTTTATTTTTATAATATAATATAATATTTTATATCTATTTTTTTATATTTTCATTTTTAATTTTAATTTATTTTTACATTTTTATTTTATTTATTTTCATTTTATTTTTATTTTATTTTTTAGAAAAAATTGTTTATTTAAAAAAATGTTACATTTAGGAAATGTTACTTTAAAATAAAAAAAAAGTAGGGAAAAAATATTTTATAAGAATATTTCTTAGTTAAACAAATAAAAGACAGCGATTTCAACTACTTCATTTGTTATAGCAGTATTTTGATTTGTAAAGTAAGAGAAATATGACTTTAATAAGCCCTAAATGACCTTCGAGTTCTATACATCTTTTAGTTAGCTTAGAGCAGCAAACTCAAATAACACCTAAGCTGTAGATAATTGTAGACAATTTGAGATACGAGTAAATATTACTTAGTTCTCTACATAATTTCAACTTCTATATAAGTCCCATTAGTCTGATGAATTAATATTCCTAAGAAGACATCGCACTGAGTGTCAAAAGTAAAGAGTACCATTTTTGTGGTTTGCTAAGCACCTTTTCTTTAGGATTTGACAAATAAAAATAAACACATTCATTTCTTCTTAATAGGAAAGAGTTGATGTCATGAGCATTTTATTATTTAGAGATGAAAAATCAGCAGTTGATGAAATCAGAAACCATCTGGCTGAATGAGTGTAACTTTTTTTTTCCTCGAATTGACATGATATCCAAACATGGGCCTATGACTTGCGATGGAAATCACCTGATTTTATTTGTTCATGATTTACAATTTTGGAAAAGAAGGAAAGGGAAAAAACTGTAGCTGAGTAAAGAGACTACACATAAACAAGGAAAGCCCTAAAACACTTTATCTTAAATACATAAACGTACAACTGCTCGGTCTTCTGAATTCGTAACCTCTTCATTTGAGTCTTTCGTTTAATTTGAGTCCATTTGGAACCAAATTTTGTGGTAAGCAGTTTTAATTAGAAATCCCAGCACATTTTGAAAACCACACTTCAAGTTGATCTACATAGAAGTAGATATTCCGGAAGAAATAAATGCGATTTGAATGATAGTTTCTAACACATCTAATCTATCTTTGGCTTTGGCTTCTTACAAGTATTGTTGTATGGGTTTAATCTATTGAAATCAGCGCAGTCAGAAACTAATGGCATATGTCGTGTAGAACGGGGAGATATCGTAAAAAGAGTCTCTGCATTTAAATACGCTGTCATGCAATTCGAGTTCCAACGAATTTTCTTGCAACAAATAAAACGTGAGACGCACAGCAAAAAACTTATGTATACAAACATTTATACAAATAAATACATACATATGTATATACGAGTACATGTTCACATATAAACAAAGCGCAATAAAAACGTGGACCCGACTTGGTTGAGTGTGCAATAAATTTTATGCAAACGGCGAAACTGTAAAGTACCATGAGGTGAGGTGAGGTGAGGTGAGGCCCCTTTCCGAAACCCTCCTCCCAAAACAAACAAACAAACAAATGTGGATTGCAAATGTGAATAAGACCCATTACCGTTACAAACTCACACACACACACACCCACTTTAACTCACACACACATATACTTGTATGTAAGTACAACTGACAGCTGCCTCGAAATTAGTAGCGTTTAATTGATGGCAACGCCAAAGCACAGTGGTACGAAATACAACTACATTTGGATTAACAAATTCAAATGAAAAGTTAAACTATTTATAATTTAAAATGAGGACTGTGCTCCAAATATTCCAGCCCCAATCTTCTCCGGATCCTTGGGACCCTCTCTCTATCTCATTTGTTTCTTTAAAATAGTGAATATATCTACTTTTTGTAATAATTATGATCAGCATAGGAATAAAACAAACCTACATACCAAGTTTTCTTCCCCTATGGTTAAAAAGTTTACAATCTTCATACAGTCGAACAGACGATTTAACTGATAGCCGAGCTAACTATCTTTGCATATGGATGCGACCATCTGTTATGGTTAACAAGCTCTCGATATTTGACTGTAGATTGTGGCCAAGTCTTCTATACGTGATTTTTGCACCGATCGCTCCTATATAATTATGAGAGATGGATTGTAATAAACTTTCTCTGCACATGGATAAGACATGATTACATACCAAGTTTTATTCCCCCAGCTGCTATGGCTAAAAAGTTATGTATGTTCATACAGTCGAACAGGGAACAGACTGACGGACGAACAAACGGACTTGTCCATACAGATTCATGGTACCATTTCTTATATACTCTTTCAACGTTCAGGTACAAGGTATAGAAAGCATTAACCTATTAATTTGCTTTTAGAAAATTATAACACTATTTAAGGCCGTCAGAAATGAAACACAAGTAGGCTTTGATTTAATTTTTTTCGTCAGTCAAATACTACACATTCGAAACATACAGAAAATATAGAAAAATTCCTACATTCTGATAAGTGAAGAACAGTTCGTTAAAGAGAAGACCACAGATTTCAAGAACGACACGCAACTTAAAAACATCAAGGTATGTGACCAGCGTCTCTAATGTGGTTCATGTATATTTCTATAAATCTTTAAACTTGACAAACATTGCGGTATGTAGTAGAGAGGAAAAACAAGTACTCATTTCTTCAGATGAACAAATAATATACATACATACATACATATATAGACCATATAGGCCAGTCATCTCCTCTCTTCAAGTGCTTTGCCTAATGCGATGCATTGGGGATAAAGCCCATATTTGAGTTTGATAGCTTCAATCGCAGCTAGTTTTAAATTTTCATACATATATAGACCACAAATATATATCTGTAGTAGGCCTGATTCATAATTCATAAGTCTGCTGTCAGAAATAAGTTTCGTAAAATATTCAGTCTCAATAAATTTCCCAACATTCGAAAAATGGTAGAAAAAAACTAAATATTAAGCTTCCAGTTAGATATCAATATTTCGTTATAAGTTAAGCCAATATCCAATCCAATAGAAACATCGAGGATTTAAGAAGAAAAGGTGAGTTCCAAGAAGTCAACCCGAAAATGATAGTCTGCACCCAACCCACCAGAGGGTTTCTTAGGAGCGTCTATAAGACTACAATCTTAAAAATACTGCATTTTTCGCCGCATTAATTGGAATTGCTAGTTTTGCAATAGAACTTCTTTGTTAAGAAAATACCTATCTATTTTTTGCAGTCAAATAAACTAGCTGGCACAAGGGCAATACAAGATCTTCGAAGAAAATAATTGTGAGCTCATTGGACACAAGAAGCTGAAGAATTCCAGGTATGTATACGCAAAGTTAATATAATAATAGGTTTAAGCTACTGTCTTGAAAAGGTCTTGGATAGTGAATTCCAAATGAGTTCTTTGTATCGGAAAACTACACTTTAATAGCGAATTTATATAGGCATAGTCGTAAAGATTCACTATGTTTTCAAATCATAGACCTGTCTGACCAGACCTTCAGTTTTGAGTGGGCTGCGCGACTTTTCTATAATTTCAATCAACTTTATGGGCACATCATCGCTATTGAAGGAGCCAATTGAGCGTTTTTGGATGCTTTAATAATCGTTATGGCCCACTGTGCAACGCCAGCTTGTTGGCTGCCACCGCTCATTGTCTTTTGACAATGCAGTTCCCACATGTGAAAGGAAAACTAATGTGGAAACAATGGCGCTCCCCCTGCCCTGATGGCGGCCGCCCTTCACACTTACCATGTCTTCCTCATCCTCACAATAGTTCACATCGTATAGGAGCTGTTCACGCCACGCCAGCACCGACTGCGATATGATTAGATGAGCGTTGGAGCGCACGCGCAACTTTCTTGCGGAACGTCCGCCGGAGGCAGCAGCTCCACGCTTGCCTCTTGTCGCTGCCAGCACGGCCAGCTCTAGGGCCTCCTTAAGGGGCTGCGGTATGGCGGCAATGTTGTCACTTTCACCAACAGCCCTCTCTGCCGCCACCTCCTCCTCCGCTTCTTGCTCTGTCTCCTCCTCCAAGCTGGCTATTTCGCAGCTGCAGCCGCTATCGTCGTTATTATTATTGTAATTGTTGCCACGACTGCTGCACAGCTGCTTTGCCGGCGTGGGGATGGGGGGTGCGGGTCGACGAACACGCGTCATGAAATGCAGATGCACCAACTCCCGCTGATATTCATAGAATATGACGCTAAACTTCTTTGGATCCAGCTGGCTATACACAATGCAGATATTCCGTAGCACGGGATGCGTGAGGCTCACGTGAGTAGGCGCCGATGAGCCGCTGCTCTGACTACTAATCGAACCGAGCGTCGCAGTGCTATTCGTGACTGTGCTGCCCATGCTTAGGGTATCATCTACAGCATGGTTGGTGTCGTTGTTGTTGTTGATGTTGGCCTCCCCCTCGGGCGGCTGTTGCTGTTCTTTTCTGAATTGCGACTGTGTGGCAAACATGAACTCATCATCCGTTTCCCAAGCACCCTGATCTGTTGACGCTGTGGGCGATGGGAGTGGCGTAGCAGAAACACTCTTGGACGCCACCATGCTGCTGCTTCTGTGGCTGGACTTTTGACGAGCGCCGGCTGCAAAAGCTGCAGCCGCTTGCAACGCTGCGGCATCATCATCTGCCACAGCGGCTACTGCGGCCGAGGCTGCAGCTGCGGCTGTTGCTGCTGCTGCATCATCTGCCTCAGCTCTAGTTATTATGTGAAAGTCAATGGCCGTTTTATCATCCGCATCTCGATCATCTTCGTCATCGTTAATTGCTTCGTCTTCTTCCTCACCGTCATCTTCATCATCATCGTCATCTTCGTCTTCGTCCGCCTCGTTGAGCGGCACCTCGTAATACTCCTGCGCCTCACCTAAAGTCTTAAATTTCCAAATTGGCTGATAGATGGACTCTTCTTCATCATCATCTTCCTGCTGCTGCTGCTGCTGATCCTTGCAACTTGCATTTGTCACCAGTTCTTTTTTATTGTTATTGTCTTCGTCATGCTTAATGCTTCTGTCGTTGTTGTTGTTGCTGCTGCTGTTGTTATTGTTATTTTTCTCTGCCGCAGCCTCATGACTCGCCAGCTCGGCATGCGTCATCGGTGACGACGACGACGCTGGTACTGGCACTGGCACTGGCATTGGCGCCATGGCTTTCACTGCCTTCTTCATTTTGGCAACTGGCAGCTGACGGTTTACAATTCTTGGCTTTACGGGTGCTGCCGTCGTCGTACTCAGCGCCGTGCTGGGGTTCCGTACGGGCACCTGTGGCGCTGGGCGCTTAACCTTGCAACGCTGCTGCTGACCATTCATGTTGCCACATTTGGGGGCATGTTGAACCGCAACTTTGTCATTGTCGTTGGCAACCTCGGAGACGGTTGTTGGTTTGGACGCCGCCATTAACAACGCAACGCTATCGCCGCTGCTAATGCGATCGTCGCTGTATCCCACCTCCGTACCCCCAACCTTTACAAGCGATTGATTGTCGTTGGCGCTGTCGCTTTTGTTGTTATTGTTGTTGTTGTTATATCCGCGCTCTCGTTGTTGTTTATCGCTCGCGTCGCGCCAAGCGACCGCAACGTCGTCACTCTTTGGCGTCGCTGATAATACTGTTCGCCCCACAACTGACTCACTCAGCCCGTAACCATTGTTGGCTCTGTTGACGTATCGCCGATATAGTCGCATTAAGCGCTCTCTGCTGCTGCTGCTGCCGCTTCTGACTTTGGTGTGTTGTGGGGCGGCTCTCAAAAACGCTACCAACGTTCTCTCCCAGCCCACAACGCTTAAATGCAGGCTTGCTGCCAGAGCGGCGCTTTGCAGCAGCGCAAAGAGCGAAATGTGAGAGAATTGTGTGGTGATGGTGGTGCGAGTGGTGCTGCTGCTGATCTTGTTGTTGGTGGGTAACAACGGCAGCGACATTGTCGGCTCCTCTTTCATCTCCGAAATGCAATCAAACGAGCTGAGAAATTCACTGACAAAAGCTGAATCATGATGCTCGTTGATGCCGCAGCGACGTCGATCGTTTGTTGATGGGGCGAGGCGAAGCTGGACAGTGTCCGTTGTCAACAGTGTTGTTGTTATTGCTGCTTCCTCTTCTCTTTGTTCTCCTACTTCTACTTCAACTTCTGCCTCTCCGTCTTCCTTTTCCTCTCTTTCGATGCTAAGCTTCATTTTGGCAAGCAAATTGCTTTTAAAATCAAGCACCAGTCGCTGCTCATGCGCCATTGGTGGGGACGACTGCTCTCTACGCAGGGTAACAGCTGTTTCCACACTATACTGTTGTTGTTGTTGCTGCTGCTGCTGTTCGTAGGTGGAGGGTATGCGTTTGGGCTGCTGACTGAGCGCCAAACTGCTGGCATCCTCATAACTGTGCTGCTCGTAACGCAGCATTGACATCCACAGGCAGATGCTCTCGTTTAAATAGAGCGAGGAAGCAGTGAGAGGGGAGAGGGCCGAAGGTGGTGGTGGCGTTGGTGCTGGTGGAGGAGGTGAAGCTGGAGCAGGTGGAATGCTTAGAGTTGCCACACTCTCTGCCGGTTTAGTGTTGCCGCTGCGCAGCAGACGTATGCGTGAAATTCGTGGCTTCTTAGCACTGGAGGGTGGTGGTTGCTGTTGTTGCTGCTGCGGTTCTTCGACCTTGTCTGCCACCACCACCACTACCTGTTGATGCAGCGATGGTCCTTCTAGAATGCCGATCGGTGCTTGTTTCTCCTCGCGCTCTTCGTGACACTTAAGACGGCCGTAAATATGCTGTTCACTGTGGCTGCTCTGCAGTCGCTTTAACTCGCAAATACGCCCCAAATCGAACGTCTCCTGGGTACGAAAGACCTCATCCACATTATGGATGATCTCTAGGGAACCACCGCCTGTGGCTTTGCCCGCTTCACGTTGGAACAGGCGCTGCTTGCGACGCTGCAACGAGGCGGAGCTGGCACTCGAGCTGGAAGCGCTGCGATTAAGTTGTTTTAGCGAGCCGAAGAGATTGTGGAATAGACCGCGACGCGTTAGGCTGCCATTACCAGCTGATGAACTCTTTTTCGAACTTACTGTAATTGTTGTTGCAGTTGGTGCTGATGTTGGTGTTGCTGTTGTTGCTTTAGCGGCTGCAGCTTCCGTTGCTTTCGTTGTGTTGCAAGCACATTGCTCGCAATCGCTATAGATGCTGCGACAATGCTCGCAAATATTCTCATAAATGTTGCCCTCACTGGGGGATGGCGTGCTGCAAGTGGGTGTGGGTGTGGGGATGGGTGTAGGCGTGGAGGTCGTCTCCTGACTAACACTCACCACACCATTGACAATGCACTGACAAAAGTGGCAGTAGTGGCCTTGAGCGCCAAATACGCCGTAGCCACAACCACGGCAGAGATTTTCATAGATGGCCTCGCGTCGAAAGTATTTGCGCAGCAACAAGCGCTGCTGCTCTGCCACACTGTCACTGCCACCACCACCACCACCAGCCGGCTGCAAATTCTCGTAGATGTGCTCCTCTGTCGGCCACAACTTGTTGCTGCGCGTCCCTTTGGTGCGTTTGCGCTGCGCCGGCGCAGCCGTTGACTCCACGCTTGGCTGCGATTCGCCGTCCACTTGCCATTTACAGTGACAGCTGCAGCATTTCGGCTTGTTGTTGTTGTCAATGATATCACTGCAGCTTCGTAAATGGTGAGCCATTTTTACTCTTCCACACTCTCTCTTTCACTCCCTCTCTCTCACACACACACATGCAGAGCTGAACTCTCTGTAACTGTGGTTGCCGTTGACTCTCTGGCCCGCTCCTTGTTGTTGTTGTCACACACGTTTATCGCGTTGTTTGTTTTTGTTATATTGCTTCGACATTATTTATTAAATATGTATGTATGTATGTCTGTATTGTATTTACCAGTAAGCGTTATTGTAAACTTTTCTTCACATTTCTGTGTGTTGTTTTCTTCTGCTTCGTTTACTGATTGCGACACCCCTTCACCCCATTCACTCTCCTCTCCAGAAGGGGCGGAAAACAAAACGACTTACATTTTTTAATTGATCGCACACGCGTCTCTCTCCCTCTCTATCTCTCTGGCACCCAACCATACACATGCGCGTAGCCCAATTAGACTATTTAACAAATTAAAGGAAAGTTTCATTGTCTAAGCAATTAACATAATTGATCTACATTATTTTCATAAATATTCTCTATAATAAGAAAACAATTAATAGTTTCTAAAGTTCTTTAAATATAAATATATTATATTTATTTATATAAATGCTTCAAGCTATTTAATAAAAGCAAAAAAATAATGGTTACATTCCATTTAGCCTCTTCAAAAATTATTTAATTAATTTTTAAAAAAATTAAGTAAAATTTATCTTTGGAAATTGAACGTGAACTTTTTTTAATCCATATTTTTTTTAATGAAATTAATTTTGTTGCATAGTATTTGTAATCTGTTTGACACGCGCATTTATCGTTTATTTGTCGAAGCGCTAGGGCGAGAGTTAATGACACAGAAAGAAAGAGAGAGATAGATAGAGAGGCTGAGATAGCGATAGAACGATCGCGCAAGAGAGCACCAACATTTAGGGGAGCCACTGCCCTACGCACTGCAATTCGCAGCTTCTGCTCTTGTGCGGTGGACGTTGACGCTCCCCAATGTATGTACTTTTGTCGGCCCTTGCATGATTGTTGATGTTGTTGTTGCTCTGCTGTTTTATGACTTTTGATACCCTACCCCACATGTAGCAGACAAAAGGAAGCATATCCGAACCAACTAAGTCATGATAAGACAAACCGACCGCTCTGCCGTCTGCCTATATGAACGCTTGCCTATCGGAAACGGCTGAACCCACATTAACCAAACTTGCGAGTCCCTACAGCATATCAGTTTATTATATTATTTGGATTTTTGCGAGTGTTAGAGCTACATGTACAGTTAATTTGCACACGTAATTTATAAAAATAATGGTATGCTTTAGTGAAATAACTGCATTCGCCCCGACGTGACAAACAAATTCGTTATGCCGAAAGCATTAACTGACCAGATTTTAAATAAAAACTATACAGTGTTGATATTATAGCTTTTCAAACTATGCATCAGACCAAGAAATGCTTTATTTGAGAATAAACTCTATAATAAATAAAAAAAACTAATTTGATAAAAACAAATGTAAAACAACTTTCGTCATAAATGTAATGGTTTTTCCAAATCTTTTGAAAATAAAAAAATGCTTTAACTAAAATCTCCTTAAATACATACATACATTTTTGGCTCCACTGAGGCAGAAAAAAAGCATATTTGTTCAAAAAAATTTAACTAATATAATAAAACTAATATATATAACGTCAGGATTTTTTTAAATATAGCTGATGAATGTTTTTAAATATCTTTAAATGTATTTACTTTCGGCACTAGTTTCCTACCTCTTCCGACGGCTTGTCGGCGATATTTTATTTATTTTTACAGCAGGGCATTCAAGAGTCGGCTTTGAGCGACTGTTACATTCCGTGCCTTGCTTCTCTTTCTTTAACTGTGTTCTGTTTTTCCCCCAAAGCATTACTGTTTGTGTATTTTTGCTTTTGTTGTTGTTTGCTTTGCCGTGCCTTGTCTTGCCTTGCCTTCGACGACAAACGGCATAGCTTGGACTCCAGCTTTGGCTCCGACTCTGACTGACGCGCTGATAGCGATGAGTCACACCAGCAGCGACTGAGACTGACGGGCGGGCGTTGGACGATCAGCAAAGCATGTCGTCGCCGCCGCCGCCGTCGCAGTCGGTGGGGCGTAGCCGTAGCCGTGCGATGGAGGCGTCGGCGGTATTCAAATTAAATCGCCTGACAAAGCGCTATGCTGCCCCTCGAGAACTGGAAATGGTTGAGAAGTTGCATAAGAAGCGACGGACAAACTGCCTGACTGACTGACTAACTGACTGCAGGTGCCGCCAACGTTATGAGAGACTCCGGAATGTGGCTGCTACCTGTTAAAGAGCCCTGCGGGACGAGACCTGCATTCGATTTAAAATTAAATGTGACAAGCATTTTCTTTATAATTATTATTAACTGTGCTTCTCACACGCGCGCCGCGTATTCAAAAAAAAAAACAACAAAACAAATCTGACTTTGAAAACTATTTTTGACTGACTAGAGAAAAAAAGGAGGGCGAGAGGGAGTCACTAGAAGATATTGTGTGTTAAAAAAAGGCAGAAAGAGTTGATTTTTGAACCATTTGTTCAACAAATACACACTCTCGCTTTCCCAAAAATGTTCTATTTTTTTCAATATCTTTAAATAACTAAAGAGAATCGGAAAAGGATATTGATGATTCACAACCAATATAGAGTCAGATGAATTCGGAACATAATTAATTTCTATGATTTCTTCCCATTCTTTGTTAGAATATTATTGTTTTCTCTAAAAACTTTTCAATTCTAAGCTGTGCAAACTATTTTTGAATGGCCAGAGAGAAGAGTTAGAAATTAACGTACCTCTTCTGATAGGTCTGATTAGAATTAGTCTCTAACTCAAAAAGATAGCGCAGTTTTGGAACTCTCTATATTTAAGCATATTTCTGACTCAGATGAGTATCACAAATATAATTACAATCATTCCTCTAATGAAAGCAGACCAAAGCGTTACTTTAGAGATCATTTTCTTCAATAGCATTTCTTTCTTTCAATAGCTAATTCAAAGCAAATTGTTTATAATATTTTCCAAAAGTATACATAGATAATTTGTTCTATTAAATTTCCTAATAATATCGCAATTTAAAATTCAATTAAAAAACCTTCCTTCTATAAAATAGTTTATTTTGATGTGTATTATTCAGTTTTATTTGAATACATAGATGCTTTTATTAGGCCAAGAATAAAAAAAAAAAAAACACCAGTACTTGTCATTATATACAAAGTATATCAAAGTTCTCTCATCTCGGTCTATCAAAGGTATTTAAGCCCAGCCTAGATAATCCTAAGCGGACGATTGTAGAATTTATAAATCATTAGACTTGGCTTGCCTTGTTAATCAAAATGCTTTCTGATTTAGCAAATCTATCCAAAAAATTATTTAAATTATCTATTTGTCAATATTCAATAGTGGGTGCAATTTTGTATGCAAATATTTATTGACAATGATTCAACATTAAAGTTCTAAAGCTTCAAAAAGAAGTATTAAGAAGCTGGTTACCTTTGCAAATTTATGTTGATGAAATGTTTTATCTCTAAAAGGAAGGTGTAATAGGTGATATATAGATGATATGATTAATATATAAGTACAACACCTATATTAATCTCTCTTTAATCTGCGAATGCTTGCGAAAGCGTTTCGTTTCGGCCATTTTCGCTTGCCAATAAGCCGCTGTGACATCAAATAGGTTGCATACTTTTAGGCGGCAGGTGAGACTAATTCGCGTCTTATGACCAAAACACAAACAAATTACAGTAATTAATAAGGTAGCAGTAAGCCCAACACACTACATTCGCAGAAATTTGCATTTTTGTTGTTGAAAATTAAAAACTGGCAATTTTGTATTTGATAAAATAAATTCTGCAATGTTGTATCCTTATTGTTTTCATCGATTTTTAGTCTACAATTTGTATTTACAATTATTCGATCAATGCTGTCTCTTAAGCCTTTCTCTATTTGCATTTTTAATAGATAATAAGGTAATGTGGCATTTATTTTGTAATCCCGGGATAATTTAAGAAAACTGCACTTATTTTTTCATGAAGTCAAATAAAATAGATACTCTTAATAAATATTTATTTCCAGCATATATGGATACTTTAAAAAAAATTGTTAATGTAAAAAATCTGCTGCTTTACTTTAGTTAATGGCGTTTCAAGCTATACATACGTATCTGTAGCTTTAAAAAAAACTGAACACATTGAAAACAATTTGATATAAACATTTCCAAACATCCATCTGTTTGTTGGACCGCTTTTGAACAGAAACAGCTAAGGACTCCAAACATAGTGTTAACATATTCCAACGCAGAGCAAGTTTATAAGAAATCATATATAGCCACATTATTATATATACATAGCTGTTATAGGAACAAACGGTGTAAATATTATCATCATTATCATTACTAAATTTGGCCTTTATGAGTATTGCCTCGCCATTACTTAAATTCTTATCAAAATCGGTGCACTATATCATATACATAGCTGCCATGGGAATGAAGTTTTGGTTTAATAGGCTATTCAAGAGAAGGTCTGACCCACACAACTGATTGTCCTGATCAGGAGTGGTTATAAGAAATGTCACATTCATATTCAGATGTTGAGAGTTGGTGGAAAATGATTTTATCACACTGTTCAAAAAATATAAAAGATTTTTATTTAAATGAAAATTTAAACTAATAAAAAAAAGTTTTATGAGTCAATAATACCCCCGGGCTATGTCGTTCAGGGCTGTATTTTTTCGCGATCGCTGACTGTATAGTGGCTTTCTGTTTTAAATAAATGCGTGACCTCTTGAGTTCAATAACAATTGAGTCCGAGAGGCAGTCAAATTGTCACTCCGCCACTTAGAGGCGCTGGAAACTTTCAATGAGAACCAACTGATGACTGCTATCTTTTGTGGGGGCAAGCACTATGAATGATGAATCATCGTTGCCACAACAATTTCGTACGAAATTTCAGTTATATACTTGTATATATATATCTATGTATGTAAGTATTGGGAGGGCGAGGGAGACTGACTATGAAGATTGACAAACAAACGCGGGGCTTGGCAACATTCAACTGCCTAAATGTGGGCCGGCATACAACAAGTATTTACATACTACGAGTATATATGCGATACCACATATCGATATCTTATAAGGCGATAATATGTCGGCACACCCGCAACAACAACAAATATCAGCAGCAGCAGCAATAACAACAACAACAGCAACAACAACTGTCACACGTACATACATAACAGTGTATATGTAAGTATGTACACACTTACATACATATGATGGAGCCATCAAGCAAGTCTGTATCGATGCATGTGTGTGTG